CCTCATCCTCATCCTCATCCTCATCCTCCTCCTCCGCACCATCCCCCAATTCCGCCGCCGCTGCCGGATTCTACTCAAGCTTCTTCTACTTCTTCTAGATCTTTTTTCTTATCCTAATTTCCCTCTAAAAACCCCGCGACCATTCTCCTAACCGACAGCAACAGAAACAGGGCAAAGGGGAAAATTAAGTAGAGAAAACGGTCAGGTGTGTTTATGTAGTCGCATCTGAGGTAAACAAACCCCAGCCACCTGTAATGCGGGACCGGAGGTAATGGGGGCATTTACAGGTGGGGCCGGGGAACGCAAGGTCGATGGGGTCAAGTAATTGTATGCAAAACAAAATCTATCGCGGAATGCGCGTTTGTATCTTAAGTGACTGAGAAATAGTTGCCCTAACAACAACACCATGCAAACGTAATCACGCCAACTCAGAATAATTAAGTGCGTCAACGGTGCTGCGTCCATCAGGTGCGGTAACATAACCACATCTTACCGAAAAAAATACACAAAATCAAACATTTGATCCCAAGCAGACGTTGACCAGTTCTCAAGGATGACGTTAAATGCTATTAGTTACGCGAGTCCGTATTACTTGACGAAGAATTCATCATATGTAGGTGGAGGGCATCACCGCACAGACTCTTAAAACAATCCTGTTTACTATTGCAGTCAGGAATGTTTTCTCGCCTTACGATAATACAATAGTCAACTCACCAGAAAGGCAGAAAAATCCAGTGGACTGTGACGTATCTCAATGTGAAATGGCCATCACAGTTCTCAGAGACATCCGTTTCTGTGAAGAAAGACAAGTGCAGACGAGCACCGGATACACATTATTCTGCAAAAGAGGTCCAGAAACAGGGAGATGAGACTCCGGAAACACCTCCTCCGTCAAGTACTTCCTCGTGAGATGACTGTTCAGCTCCTGCTCTACAGTCAGTCAGTAGCCTCCTCATGACCATAAGATTGCTACTCCATGGAAATAAATTCATCATCATCATCATCATCATCATCATCATCATCATCATCATCATCATCATCATCATCATCATCATCATCATCATCATTCTCAGCGTCTACACTCACCCCGCCAAAAGCCCCGGTGAGCTGAAGGAAGAATTCCACGAAGATCTGCAGGCTCTCTGTACGACTGTGCTAGGGACGGCCACGGGACCGGTAACTGCAACAGCACTGTCCTCCTGCATCTGAAGGCCTTGCACGGAATGTAGTCTTCTCCTGTAGTCTTCTGGAAGAGAACACACTCACTCGAGTAGCTGTCAACTGCTGGATCACCTACTCGTCAGACGGCGTAACCAGCGTGATGTGCCAGTGAGCAGGCTGATGTGTGCTGCAGACCGCTGGACGGATCACCGTCTTGTCATCTCCGAGAGGAGGCTACAACTGCAATTCCACAGGCATCGGCAAACGAAGCAAACACCAGCTAAATTAAGCAGTGTAATCCTGGACGCGATTGACCTCCCATCGCACTTTCGTAATTACTTGAAGCTGGAGCAAGAGCAAGTGGTTGGGAGAAAGTGCTGCCGATGAGAACCAATGGCCGAAACGGCGGGAAGTCCTCCGGGCCACCACAGAACTGGAAACGGTTCGGGGGAAACGGCGATGAACTCTGACAACTGCTCTCTACAGAAAGCACTCTACGCAGGATTTATGACAGAGACGGGACCTACCTCATAAGACCATATTCTTCCCGCACTGATGCCCACTGCAGTAGAGTTTGGGGTAGACAAAAGATTCGGACAAACTCAAGAGACTGAAGAAATGCAGGGATTTGTCGAGGGTGCTGACTTGGGGAATTTCTCCGCGGCATCAAAGAAGTCAATGACATCAAGGTCAAGGTGACTACGCCAGAGTCCAGCCATGAAGGGTTAATCCTTCCAGACAAGAAAGAGTAATCCTACTGTTCGAGAAGTCGCAGATCCTGCACGTCAAATAAACCACTTCAAGGGTACCCTCAATCACCCCTCCCCACACAATCCCACAGGAAGTCATTAACCGACTTCCTCATGTGTGTCGTGGTCGTCCGCTCTCCCTGTGGGAGAAAACCGGCGTTGTGCAACAGACGTGCAGCGGTAAAGCGCAACCTGTCGAGTAAATTCCAGCCGAAATCTACAAATACGGCGGTCCTCAAATCACG